ATCTTACCTTTAAACACTTACACCATTTCTTAAATTCACTTAATAGAAATCTGACTATGAAAAACTTAAAAAAAAATAATAGAACAATGTTACCTTTTTCTGAACGAGTCTGACATAGTTACGACTCTGACATAAAGTGGGACTCCCTGACATGATTAAGACTCTTTGACATGGGTACAATAGGCAGGAAAAGAGACACTGCTCACCGATGCCTTCCTTAACTTGCTCCATAATTGCTAAGAGTGATGGCAGATTCCTATTTCCTCATTTCAAAATAGAATAAAAAAATGCGATTTTGAGGGAATATTGAGCTCTGAGCTTAAGACCCTGAACCTGTTCTTTGATGAGGTGCTGTACAACTCTTTATAAATAGATTCTGCAAATGTTGCATTTAAAAAACTGAATAGAAAAGCTGGCAAGGAAGAGACGCAGCAGCAGCAGATACTGTGTTAAGTGGTGACCTCAGCAGCCAGTCTGAGCACAGCAAGTCAGGGATAAATATATTTGGAAGACAAAATATCGAAGAGCAATAAAAACACGTATAGCAAGAGTAGGACTTCAATTAATAGACAACGTTTCGCTTAAAGAAGAGGTTTTTAAGTGGTAAAAAGCTCTCAGGTGAGCTAAACGTCGTCTAATAAAATTTTTTACTATATGTTTTTATTAGCAAAGGCTCAGTACAATACTTCAAGGACATCTGCAATTGAAAAACACATAGTCGCTTTTTCTGACAAAAAAAAAAAATAAGGATGATAACATAAATTCTTAAGTACTGTACTATTAGACAAATGAAAAACAATCATTTGGGTTACTTTTAGACACACATCAAATATATAAAGGTAAAATACACAGCCAGTTCTACTAGAGTGGGTTAGAGTGCAGTCACCATAGAGGAGTTACACTAACTGGGGATGCTAGGCAAGGTAACACACTGGAGACTATGTTAACAAGAGTCATAATTGCTTGTGAGAGTGCAGAGCCAAGAGTGACAACACAGGATAGTCATACACACAGGAGGATGAGGATCAGCACTTCAACTGATGTGGGTCACGGAGGATTCAGAGGTATTATGACCACATGTTATTGATACTATTGCTATCAGGCTACACGTAGCAGAAGACACCTTGTTCAAGAAACATTAATTATTATTAATGAATCCGACATTCATGGTAGTTATTCTCATTCATTTGATAATAATGTATAAATGGTCCTCACCAAGTTTAAAGTCAGCAATGAGACATTTATCCGTTTTATAAATGAAATTGCCAATATAATACATTAAATGAATATCTGAAAAAATGTTTAAAATAAAAATAATTATTATCTAAAACAAAAACAATATGATTAGCATCTACCAATATAATCAATAACAACATAGCACACATTATTACTGATATAGGTGATAAAATCACAAATGTCAAGCAATAGTGTGCAGTGAAACAATCTTTTAGACAACTAAAATTCACTAACATCAACACATTCCGCACTGTTCTTGTATTAGTTCATTTCCTGAACTGAGTCACTTGTCCTTTTGTGCCTGATGACCCTGTGTGCTCGTCTGGGAGGTACAGTAGGTGGTTGCTGGCTCAAGGATGTGACATAACTGGTAAATGCATGCAAAGCAAAAGGAATAGGATTGCAATCTCTTATGAGAGTTGGCAGGCAGATAAGTTAGTAGGGTAAGAACAACACGCATGACATTATTGTCAGCTAACAAAGACAGATGACAAGAAAAGTTAACTAAAATAGAAAGTGTAAAATAAAACTGCAAGAAAATGAGGAGGAGGAGGAGGAGGAGGAGGATAAAGAGGATGTTACGAATGTTGGACTAGATTGTTGCATGAAGAACCAATGTGTTTGTGCAATATTTGTGGAAGCAAATTTTTTCGGTTGCAAACTGTCTTTCACAGGAGTGTCGTGTAAAAGTTACTTCCAAGGGAAGAACCCGCATACTTACATGAATGTCTGTCGATGCTGCATAAGCATTATAGAAAAGTGATTGGATTGATCTTATCTGTGTTTTTGGTAAAAATAAACCAACTGGTAATTTAATTGTACTGGCAGTATAATCTGTAATAATATAAGCATTTTTTTTTATTCTTAAGGTATAATTTCAATACCTTACAGTAGCAATTTTTTGGGTGGTTTTTGAAAGATAAAAAAAAATAGATAGAGAAGGAAAGACCAAAGCTGGACCATCCAAAAGTAGGAAGAAGATAAAATGAAAACTGGTATCACGAATATCATGGCATCAAGAACAGCATGGCGGTCTCTGGTCTCAGATCAACTGAAATATTCACCTGAGAACACAAATCCACTTGTAAATCGGTAAGATAAGAAATGGATGTTGCTACGAGCAATTAAAAAAAGGCTTACACGCAGAACCTGAACTATTTTACTGCCGAAGTGCAAGACACAGACAGTGGATCTCCCTGGCCAGCTGCAAGAGTTGTGTCGTGGTTATTGGTTGCGACGGGAAGAGCTCTATCTCTTCTAATCCCTGGACACAAGCAAAGCTGTGAAGGTGGAAGAGGTGATGCATGTATTGTGTTGACTAGGTAGAACTGCCTCTCACTAGCCTCTATTAGCTTTGTCTAGAACAAAGTAAAGGTCTTCTTTAGGAAAGAAAAGGCAAATGTAGTACCAATTGTGCCACTAGTAAATGGCAGACTTGTTTTATCACTTGCTGTACTTGACTAGCAAAATTATTTCAGAAAGGATTTCTTTCCGGCTCTCCACTATGTGGTATAAATCACTGGACAAATCCATGACAGTTATGATGTATTAAACATCACAGGTGACTTCGACCGAAATTCCTTGCGTAATTAGTGGTTTCCTTTGGTGCCTACCACTGCAATAATTCATGTAAATATTATTTTTACGGCGTAAAGAAATAAACATTATTATTATTATGGTTCCACGACCTCTTGGCATAATTACAAGCACTAAGAAACTTTTACTCCATTTCTACATTTAATGGACGACATTCCAGGTCAGTCTCAGGATGAGTAAGACACTGACACTCACGTCTATTCTTATATTTTTTAACATATACTTGTATTTAAATATAAATGTCTTAATATCAGTAATAAAAGTATTTTCGAAATGTTTGCAGAAGATACTTGCAGCAGATATGTATATATGTATATATTTTTATGTTGGTAATTATACTCATTTAAATTCTGATATGAAACAGAAACCTATAACAATTTGCAATATTTATTTATTCACACGTACTATATATTAATATCATGTGATGATATTGAATAATACCAATTAAGATACTACTTGGTTTAAATATGAAACACAAGTGAGAGATCTCTGTATATTTCAGCTTCATCAGTGACCCTCTTCACTGTGTACCGAATAACTGTAATAGTCGTTATTAATTAAATATGTAATGTGCTGTATCACTAAAATGCTGACCAGTGTATCTGACACGTTTGTTATTCAGAGTAACGAAAATGAAATAAGAAAAAAGATTGGTGAACACAGAACACAAGAATTTCTCACAGAAAATGGAAAGACGTTACAAAAAAAAAAAAAAAAACAAACAAACCTGGGACAGGCAGACGGGGGTTAGGCAGGGTGAAGGGTAGATTGCATATTCCTAGACTGCTAAAAGCCTTTAACATATTATCACACAGAAGATGCAAGCCATAGTGGTAGGCAGGGTGCTAGCATGGATTAAAGAATACCTGAATCACAGAAGACAGTCATAGTGAAGGACGAAGTGTCAGGATGGGCAAATGTAACTTGCAGGGTCCTCGAAAGATCAGTACTAGGCCCAATACTATCTCATGTTAATGAAATACCAGTGGCGGTAGACTCCTACATTAAATGAATAAACAATTTCAAATGGAGAAAATTAGCATTAGATTAGAAGAGGACTCTGGCAAGCTATAAAAATTATCGACCAAGTGGCAACTAGAGTGTAACTCCAGCAAGAATATATTAATGAAAATGAGTGCTGGGGAAAAGTCCATAGATAGATTACCACCTGGGAAGGCGTGGGGGCGGCTGGAAGAAGGAAAATATAACTCATGGAATCAGATAAAGACAGGAATAACTTTTGCCAAACCTGTACTCTGCAGTGCGCATCAACAGAGTAATATTACTAAAGTGATATATGCTAGGCTGGCAAACATAAAGATGGCCTTAAAAATAACACTAAATAAAGATTCCTTCAGAACACTTCGTCACATACGAATGTTTTTAGAACACTTAGTGCCAATGTTGAGAGTCCTCGCTTAACCAGACATAGAGCAAATCTCAAGAAAGTTGAAAGATATACACTCAGACTGGTGCCAGAAATGAGAGCAATGAGATATTAGGACAAACTGCATCAACAAGATCTCTTGCCCCTGGAGGAACGCAGAAGAGGCATATAACCCCAACATAAAAATATAATCCAGGGCATAAACAAAGTCTGACCTGAAAGCTCTCCTTACCAGGGAAGGATGAAGGACATGGCAACAGTGGAACCTTCATAGTGAAATGAGCCACGATGGCGTCAGGAAACATTTCTTCCATATAAGATTAGAAAAATGGCATTAGCTAGACAAAAGACAGAAGCTGACTCCATACAAACTGAAAGAGGTACTTACAGATATATAATTATTAAAGGCAGTTTTGTAAATACCTAAGTAATGTTGTTTTTCTTTCAGTGTTCCTGTTCATGACAGAGAGTATTTACAGCAATAAAAATTGTAAGATGCAAGTGTATTTGCTGCTGTTAGTACTGTAGATAGCCTAGAAATTAACTAATGAAAATCAGTTTTGATAAACAGTTTCTAAATTTTATCTACTGTGGTAAGAACTAAGTGTGCATGAGTAAAGCAAAAAGGTTGAGTACTAGTCTATTACATAGGTTGTTATTTATAAAGGAAGGGCAGGCAGACCAAGAACACGGTATGGAAGGGGATCGGTGATGGCGATGAAAGTGATGATTTTGAAATGAAATAATATGATTGAAACAAACTTGGACTAAACTAGCTTACCCATCTTTGGTCCTGGCCCTCGGTTCATATCGTTGGGTCCCCCTCCACGCTTGGGTGGAGAAACAACAGGACCCACACGGACGTGTTCCACCGGCAGGACACGCCGCCTCTTCTTGGGAAGTTTGGCTCTTGCTTGAGTGTGACTGTAGTACATGGCAAAGTTAGATACGATGACAGGTACTGGTAACGCAATTGTCAATACACCAGCCAGGGCACACAGGGCACCGACGAACATGCCCACGTAAGTCTTTGGTGCCATATCACCATATCCCACAGTAGTCATAGTAACTAACGCCCACCACAGACCAAGCGGGATACTATTAAAGTCATTGTGTGGGTTTGCTTGTATCCTCTCAGCGTAGTATACCAAGGAGGCAAAGATTACTATACCCAGCACCAGGAAAAACACAAGCAAGGTTAACTCTTTCGCTGATGCTCTGAATGTTTGTATCAGGATCTTGAGTCCTGACGAATGTCGCGTTAATTTAAATAACCTCATGATTCGAATGATACTAAAGAACTCAAGGATGTCTGCGTTTTCCAAGTGGGAAGCAAACTTCTGCAATAGAATGTCCACATAGAAGCTCAAGGTAGCAATAAAATCAATCATGTTCACTGAAGCTTTAAGAAACATAAACTTGTTGGGTGATGCAATTAGTCTAATTAATATTTCAAAAGTAAACCAAGTGTTACAGACACACTCTATATAGAAGAATGCTTCATGAGCATTAGTTGCTTTCTTGTCCAGTGTCCACACTGTGGTATTTTCTGCTGTCTGAACGGTCACATTCTCTATAACAGGCACCCGCATATCCGGGTGTGTCTTCAGGCAGAACGATAAGATGGACACGCAGATGAAGAATACAGAGATCACACCAATTACCTGTATCAAGACATAAGCATTAATACGCTTCATAAATAAGACGTAAAATATTAAGCATACACAATGTAAACATTACCATGAGATAGCATTAGAATAAAGAAGCGTTTAACAATATTCTCGACAAATCAGCAATTAGGATACCACAAAAATGATATGAACTATTCAAGGGACATGTTACTGTAAAAAAAAATAAAGCTAGTCTACAGCACCATTCAATAGTTGCATTATACTATATATATATAATGAAGCCTATAGAACTAGGCTTTAAGTGTTTGCTAAATGACTGAGTAGGGTAGTACAGGCAAATGCCATATCTGTCCTCATTTCGCTCTCCCTTTGATAATTTTCCCAGGCAACGGACATGGTATCGTTGTCTCTAATATCACATTTTTCTTAAAAAAAAAATCCTGTGGCATGCTCTTGTAATACATTCTAATCCCCTTGTAATTTCATGAAAGTCTACCATATTTCCATATCTGATATGTTGGCTGCCACATTATCATCTGTTCTCTCTGTACCCTTTCTGTCAACTCTTACTGCAATTTAATCCTCCCTCATTTCTTCACATAATTAAACCATCATGAAATATTTGTCTTGATTCCTTTCATGATCCCACACCTGACATCCTTGACCGTATCTGCTATTCTAGACCTTTTATACAGTATTAATGTTGGTAGAATTACCTACAATATGTTAGGTAAAAGGACACAAGTGTAACTAATGTGACATTTTATTGTGGCAACGTTTCGCTCTCCAGGAGCTTTGTTAAGCAGTTACACTTTTATGTATAGAGTAACTGCAGTTACCAATACTGTTTCTTAGTGTATCGTTCACTGTACCAGGGTTGCACAATGATTTTCATAAACATTTAAGTACATTAGTGTTTGATAATAACGCACAATTCAGCAAAATCTTACATTAATTGTGTGTGTATGTTTACTGTACGGCATAACGGGCTCTGCCACGTCATTCTCCTATCAAAAACCATTATTATTATCATTAAAGATTCGCCGGTATTCTCCCGGCCCGGGCCTTTTCCAAGTGGTGGCCCGGCCTTGGCTCCCTCTTTAGGGACTGTCTGAGACCTAAGTCTCCCATGGGAGGAGGCACAAGTACCTCCTCATCTTTGGGACCAACTGCCCCCAGGCCTAGTCACAAGCTAGGCCTCTCTGGTCTGTCATCCCCGCCCCAAGGGGGCTAATGGGAATGACAGTCTTGTGAGCTGTAAGCTCGGGCTCAGGCACCTACCCTACCCTAGAAGGGTTAGGCATGGTGTCGATTCAAAAACCATCACTTACTTCTAACAAGCATTTACCTTACCTTTCTTTTATTAAATACTCTGTAAATCTATTTAAGAACTTTGCCCTGCTTGCCATCATTATGGTGGTTTGGTCTGCCATTGCCATTGTCTTTCCATATAAAATGCTCCATCTTGAATTCTTCCATTAAACTTTCGTTTTCATCTTCCTCTTTGCTCCAGTCACACATTAAAACCCATAGAGATGATTAATGTAAACTAAAAAAACCTGGAATTTACATGAAAAACATACTATTTAAGGCGGTTATTAGCGCACAAACAATTTGCACACTTTTGCATTTAATCTAACCTAAATAAACCTAGATTTTTGAGTCAAATTCTAAGTTAGATTAGGTTGAGTTACTTTTGGTTACGAAATAAAAGTGTTTTCCCTATAGACCTAAAATATAACTGTCTCATATTGCAGAATCTACTTAAAGTTGGAAAATTTACCTAATACTATTAACCGGAGTCTCTTAAATAACTCATAGCAGAATTTTCTTTTATGTGTGAGATTTAAATTGCATGCTGGTGATGCACTCTGCTGTGGTCAATACATATGCACTGTCAATTATCCTGAACGATTACTGATAGAACTTTCTGTGTCTGTCGTTGTGTGACCCACTGTTAGTATGTTGTTGGTGGTGCAGTTACTTCCCTCTGAGTCTGTTAAGTACTGCTGGTCTCCGTACCAATGAAATCTCGGTGATTAAAAATTATAAATATTAGGAGGAAAATAGATCATTGAAGATCAAGGTCACTAGTGACAGTTCTCAGACAACTTGATAGAATGAAACCAAACAAATCACCCAGATCTCATGAGAATGTGAAGAAGAACGTTGCAAACCATTAAATAATCTCTTCAACATATCACTGGAAACAGGTATCGTACCTGATAAATGGAAAATGGCAAGACAGGTCCTTAACTTCAGATTACTGACCCCTCAGCTTAACCTCATTTGTGGGGAAAGTTGATGGAAATTAGTAATTGCGGATACACTTCGAACCCAGCTTGAAAGAAGTAATTTGATCATTGAATCTCAGTTTACAAAGGGACTTTCTTACCTTTTAAATCTATTAACCATTTTCACTAAGGCATTCGAAGCAGTAGACTACGATAAAAAATTCAATATCGTGAAAATGCATTTCAGTTGGACTTTAATAAAATCCCACACTGAAGACTGAATTAATGGGTTATCTTATGATTAAGACCCGCGTCAGGAATCACTTTTTTTTCTCCTAACGAATAAAACACCAGACAAATGAAGACAGTAGTGGCACATGTCATAAAAAAAAGCAGAAATCAACTGTGTCGAGTCATAAACGACCAATAGGTGACAGAGTGCATAAATAGGGAGAAATAATAATGGGCACTCATTACATTACAGGAACCCATGTGGCTCACAACTACATAAATGACATAGATGAAGGAATAATAAATAGCAACAACGGCAAATTTACCAGTGATACTAAAATAGGCCGTCGGATAATTTCGGATGGGGAAACTAGAAAGCTACAGGATGGCCTGGATAAGTTGATGTGTGATCAGAGAAGTGGCAGATGCAGTTCAGTGCAAATAATCCGAGGAAAAGAAAATAACAATGGTACTTATAAGCTAGATAATGTAGAGCTTAATCAAACTGAATGTGAAAAAGATTTAGGGATTATGGCTAACAGAAATTTAAGCCCAAGACAACAATATATGAAGTGTTCGCAGTAAGGATAATAGAATCTATGGCTTTATGTCAAAAAGTATAAATAATAGAATCCCTCAGGTTATATTTTGACTTGATATGCCTTTCGGTAGGACCTCATACAGATTATGCTGTTAATTTCCGATCTGCAAATTACAAAATAGACACAGTTGCCCTGGAAAATATACAGAGATGCATGTCGATGTTGATCCTATGTATCAGAAACCTTTCCTATGACGATGGGCTGAATTTGTTGTCTCTGGAAAGAAGTAGAATTAGGGAGGCTGTGACTGAAGTGTACATCAGAAATAATAAATTGGCAACTAACTAATAAATTGGATACGAAGCGAGAAAACACTTCGCTCTATTCTGGATCATTATCAAGTTGCTAGTAGATAATGGTCCAGGGAGGTACCCAAACGTAATCGAATTTCCGTTCTGAGCTGTGTATTAATTATGAGTAGTTCCAGCAAGGACTAATGACCATATTTTTTATTGTTCTTAACATTAAAAATGCGTTTTCCTCTTTCTGGTAATGATCGTATTACATTAGATTTTATTAAAAAATAGCTTAAATCATATATAACTATACCCATTGTACAACTCACCTAATATAAAAAAAATTACATAAAAAACGAACAGCTAAACACTATATTAACCAATGATTTTCACCTTCCCTGGGCACGATGCCCTGGTCAGCACATACCTTGGCAGCTTGAGAGGAGTATGGCTCGTCAAAAAGGGACCATAATTTAGGTTTAGTCTTCTGCCACCATGAGAGGTTTCCAGAGAAGTAATCATCTTCAAACCCGAACTTGCGGGCTAACTCCTCCTCACTGGGTTTATCTGTGTCCAGGTCAAGGCGATCCAACACAGCCAATGTTTCTTGCGTGTCTCTGTGCTGTTGAGTGAGCAAGGCATCAGTAAACATGCTCATCAAATACCTTTAAAATGTTATTGGTTAGTGTGGTTTAAAGACTATACGAGGGTCATTAAGGCGGCATGTCACTTGTCCACCACCAGTCAAGAATACTTTTATTCCTAGAGATTTACAATTATCAGCATACATGCCTTGAGATACGTACATCTCTCAGTATATATTCTCTGGAATGTGGTGAAGAAATATATTCTTTATTTATTATTGATATATCTACAAAAACGTATTAAACACAAAATATAGTTTAAGGATGAAATAAAGTTAGGTTAGGTTAGGTTAGGTTAATTTAGGTTAAGTTAGGTTAGGTTAGGTTACGTTAAGTTAGGTTAGGTTAGGTTAAGTTAGGTAAGGTTAAGTTAGGTTAGGTTAGGTTAGGTTAAGTTAGGTAAGGTTAAGTTAGGTTAGGTTAGGTTAGGTTAGGTTAGGTTAGGTTAGGTTAAGTTAGGTAAGGTTAAGTTAGGTTAGGTTAGGTTAGGTTAGGTTAGGTTAGGTTAGGTTAGTTAAGTTAGGTTAAGTTAAGTTAAGTTAAGTTAAGTTAAGTCAAGTTAAGTTAGGTTAGGTTAGGTTAGGTTAGGTTAGGTTAGGTTAGGTTAATTTAGGTTAAGTTAGGTTAGGTTAGGTTAAGTTAGGTTAGGTTAGGTTAAGTTAGGTTAAGTTAGGTTAGGTTAAGTTAGGTTAAGTTAGGTAAGGTTAAGTTAGGTTAGGTTAGGTTAGGTTAGTTAAGTTAAGTTAAGTTAGGTTAGGTTAGGTTAGGTTAGGTTAGGTTAGGTTAGGCTAAGTTAGGTTAGGTTAGGTTAGGCTAAGTTAGGTTAGGTTATTTTAATTTAGGTTAAATTAGGTTAGGTTAGGTTAGGCTAAGTTAGGTTAGGTTAGGTTAAGTTAAGTTAGGCTAGGTTAGGTTAGGTTAAGTTAGGTTAGGTTAGGTTAGGTTAGGTTAAGTTAGGTTAAGTTAGGTTAGGTTAGGTTAGGTTTGGTTAGGTTAGGTTTGGTTAGGTTAGGTTAAGTTAGGCTAAGTTAGGTTAGGTTAGGTTAGGTTAGGTTAGGTTAGGATAAGTTAGGTTAGGTTAGGTTAGGTTAGGTTAGGTTAAGTTAGGTTAGGTTAGGTTAGGTTAGGTTAGGATAGGTTAGGCTAAGTTAGGTTAGGTTAGGTTAGGTTAGGTTAAGTTAGGTTAAGTTAGGTAAGGTTAAGTTAGGCTAGGTTAGATTAGGTTAGGTTAGGTTAGGTTAGGTTAGGTTAGGTTAGGTTAGGTTAGGCTAAGTTAGGTTAGGTTAGGTTAGGTTAAGTTAGGTTAAGTTAGGTAAGGTTAAGTTAGGCTAGGTTAGGTTAGGTTAGGTTAGGTTAAGTTAGGTTTGGTTAGGTTAGGTTAAGTTAGTTAAGTTAGGTAAGGTTAAGTTAGGCTAGGTTAGGTTAGGTTAGGTTAGGTTAGGTTAGGTTAGGTTAGGTTAGGTTAGGTTAGGTTAAGTTAGGTTAGGTTAAGTTAGGTTAGGTTAGGTTAGCTAGGTTAGGTTAGGTTAGGTTAGGTTA